CCCCAAAACCCCAAAACCCCAAAACCCCAAAACCCCAGAGTGCTTCACCAATATTGAAAGCTGATTTAGAGATAAATTACTAACTTGCTCATCATGGATTCATAACTCAAATGAAATTTAGCTGAATTTCAATAGCATTTCTCTGCTGAAACAGCAAAGAGCTAGAAAAATTAAAAAGCCTGGGTTTCATCTATAGCATAGGTAAACTTTAAAACTGATCCACAGGCTTTATGTCTACTAATTTACAAGGTTTATGAAAGTGTATCCTAGATCTACCATCCTCTTGGTCGAAAATGAATTTTCTATCTTAAGAAAAAGGTTAGTATAATAACCTGAGCAAGTCCTTATTTCCTGTTTAGATCCAAACTATTAAAATCTCTTTGAATTTTTGAATAGAGATTTAAGCTAAAATAAGGTTAACTTTGATTCATGAATCTATGAATTTCTTATAAAAACTTAGTATTATCTCGAATATGCAATCATCTGAGGAATCTCTTTATCAGTTATTTGCATAATCAAGGAATTAGATGTCTATAGCAACCATCAGACTAATTTCTAGAAGCAAAAGAACTGAAATTTGAATCAGGCTCTTTGACAAATTAATAATATGAGGAATCATAAATTAAGGCATACAATTAAGAGTTTAGATATTGTTTTAATACTAGAAATTCTCCTTTCATAACAGATTCATAGTTCGGGAATATTTTTAATCCTTACTTTCAGTTGAATCATCAATGCAATCCTGAAAATTAGCAAGAATATTGGCAGGACTTTCTTCTTGGTTAATCGAGTTGTAAACCTCAAAGTTCTGAAATATAGAGTTCGAAGGCCCTCAATGAGATATTCTTCTTCTAAAGACACTTCTTTGCTCTGAAGGTGTCTGCAAAGTAGAAAGATCATTATATCTTTGATTCACAGATACATTATGCTTTGAAGATGAGGGAGAGAAATCTATAACTGTGATTATTCAAACAAACCTCCAAATATCTTGGATATCCTGCTGTTAGACAGCTTCTTAATTTTGTCTGGCTTGTTAAACTTTGAGAACTTTGGCTTGAAGTTGAAAATTATCCTCCTAAATTGATAAGAATCTATGACAAGAGAGTAGTCTTAATATGTGCAAATGGTACAGAAATATCGTTTTTAATGACCCAGATTTAATAATTTCTCTAAATTACTTAAAAACTTCTTGAGCAACTTACTTGTTTGAATATTTAGAAAATGGAGTTCCTCTTTTAGAGCTCCTTTTTGACGAGGAGTCCTGCGAATTATAGCCATGTAAAACAAGCTTGTTCATCATTTTGGCAACTGGGCTGAGTACTCTAAACCTTGATCCTACAAATCGTACCTAGGATTATTTTTCCTTGAGAACATGCTAAGTTTAGGAATGTTTCTACTGGCTTTCTTTTCGATGAAATTAGTCTCTTTGGTGCCTCTTTTTAAGATCTTGTTGGCAGGAGAGAAACTTTTGATTCTCAGGAATCGTTCCTTGCTGATTCTAAATGCTTCAGATTAGGTGGCTTACTTTTCATAATCAGTTTGGGCTTTTCTTGGAGCTCTTTTAATTTTACCCAACTAAAGATATATTTATTTAATTTTTGTATGAGACGAACTAATTCTCCAATATTTGACAAAAGAGAAACAGAGACTCAGAAATTTATAATTTGGTCTACCGTCTTAAAGTGGGCAGGATTGGAGGTACCAAACCTCTTCACCTACTTTTGATACATATGTTGATGAGATTAGTTGACCTTCTCTGACCAAAAATTTCTAAGATGGATTACCTTATTTATAAACCTGCCCTTGGCTATTTTCCATTTAGGGTTAAAAGCTCTCTGATTGATGCTGAATGTACTGTTCTATAAATAATTGTTGCCTGGGTTCAAAATTGGGATGGATTTATTATAAAATTATTCTGAGAAAAATGTGATTATCGAAGAAAACAACAAATTTAAATAACACTCAAAGTGTAAAAACTTTAGAAGGGAGATTTCCAGATGAATATGAATCGTTAATAATTTTCTAACCGATCTGAGTAATTGTGCTAGCTCAGATCCTAAACCCCTAATTTTTAGCCCTATGAAGCTTGATGAATCTGCTTCACTGCACTATTCTTATTTAAAATAGGTGAATTAAGAATCTGAAAATTTTTAAACGAATCCTAATTTAATCAAAGCAGGGTTTTTACAAGATGCAGAAGCAAAATAAGTGCAAATCTCTGGTGAAACCCTCTTAAGCCTCAAACAGGTTCTAATTTGTTCGACAATCTTGATTATTTCATGGTAAACTAGCACTAATATGAGACCATAAATATTTAAGAATTTGAAATCGTCTAGGAATGGGGATTTTGAAATTTGGATACAGTTCATAATCGAGGTAGCTCAATTTCCTGTAAAAAGAAGTAGCCAGTTAGAATATTCGGAAATCAAGCCCACCATTTTATGTAAATGATCATAGTAGAACTTACTTCTCGAAAATGAATGGTTTTTACTAATTAGCTGCAGTATTGCTGAATCTAGCAAAAAGATAGCATAAAGATAATAATCTGGACATCGATTCGTTAACTTAAAGATTTTTACAGATGAGATTTTACAGAAATTCCTTAATTTTACACTCAAATCAACTGTTGGTAGGACTAAATATTCCCAAAAAGTGGTAATGAAAGCATAGATACACTCGAGATACATCTGGAATATAAACATATTGATAAAGTCTCTTGTTAGAAGCAAGTCCTGACTGTACTAACCTTCTTAATCTTCTCAATCTTCTTTGCTTTCCTAATTTGTCCAATGTCACTCATTTATTATAGTTCAGCTTCAGATTATTTATATGGGGTTTTGGGGTTTTGGGGTTTTGGGGTTTTGGGG